TTGGTTTCTTAGTTGACTTTTGGGGAAGGGAGAGCACAGCTCGATAGGTAAATACTTGCAGCCTTTTTCGATAACGAAAACCCCCGGTCTGCACTTAAATGTGACAATCTGTTTATAGCTGCCATTTGCTTCGTTTCGTGTGTTTATTTGTGTGTTTTCTCCTCCTCATCCTGGTTAATGGCCGCCATTGTTGTTGACTTCTGTGGTTCCATCTACGGGTCTCTCTCTCCTTTTTGCCTTTGTCTTGGTCCAAACGAACCCGGGTTCAAGGTGAAATCAGTTCAAGTCCGCAGGGCAGTCTGTCGTCTGTTGATTGTTTGTATCCTGCCACGCAGGCGATCAGTCTACAGTCAACCCTTTTCGAAGCGAACCATTTCCCTTAACAATGGGTTAAAGGGTAGTAAACAACTTAGCAGCTTAGATTTAGAAAACAAAACTAAAAAACCCATGCATATGTAAACCGTCTATGTTTTCCTCTTATTCAGTTAAGATTTTTATTTTGGAGTCCAGCGATGGAGGTAGTACTGTCGGTCCAGTTTTAACCCTCTATGCCGCATCCCTTTTGCCTCTGTCTTTTCCCGTCTTTAAATACACAAATCAATAGAGGTTGTTTTCAACAACCCTCAGTTTTTGAACTTGTACTCACTTCCCAGGCATGTGCATGTTGAGTTTTTTGACCTATCACACAACATCAGGCTGTGGCAACATTTTGTTGTTTTCCTGCGCTGTGTAATTTTGAACAGGTGTTTCCCAGGTTTCATTCGATGTATTTTTTTTCTTTTTCGTTGCGGTTTTGTTTGCCGAACATACTATACACGTATGCACGTTAATCCTAAACTGCCCTGCCCCGATGTCTGGGATAAGCCGCTTCATGCACTATTATTTTATACATTTTGGGGCGTTTGCTCGAAGTTTTAATAATTTTTGCTACAAAATCGCCGGAAACATGGGCTCTTGAAGCGTTCATTTATTATGGCTAAAAAATAAAGCACTCTGTGGGTCTGAACCGAAAATTTTGCTCAAATGTGTACGTCATATCGTTTCTCGTCCGTTCATAGATTGTAATTTATTTTGATTAATGATTGGCGGCAACGGCTCACGCTCTTCTCTGAGCCTTTTATTTCTTTGGCATCTTCTTTTGCCAGTACCGTTAGTTTTATATTTTTCGCCTTCAACTTAATTTTAAAACAATTCCATCTATCATTCTGTAAACTTTGTATCCACAGTGTGTATCTAAAATATTGATTAATGGCTTTAACAGTTTTAAAGCGAATCAGATAGCAACATCTTTATTTAAACCCCCCTTAAATGTAAGGTCGATTTTCTCACCTATATTTTTCACAAGAAAGCGAAACTTGAAGCAAAGTTAATTGACTTGGATCGCTGGATCAATGCAGCACTATTTTTCCAGTTCCTAAGTTTATAATAACAAAATTAAAATTTTACTAAGAGAAAATCGTACTTTGGAGGGTTAAGGTTTTGCCTTCATTTTTCTGACCGGAAGCTTCGCGCATTCTTGAGTCTTGGGACTCGAGTTAAGCTTAAGCCCCGTGAGCTCAACTTGCTTCTAAATTGAGCCGAGCAGCCATCTTGGCGTGGCTCTCTCCGTTTTTCTGTCTCTTCTCTGCTTCCTTTGGCTTTGCACATTTTAATAAAGTTTAATAATTCAATGGGTGATTTTGTCTCTTTGTTGCATTTCATCAGCATATGTTGTTGCTCCATTATCTTTAACGTTGTTGTCTGGTCCGCTTTACGCGCTCATTAATATGCAAATGTGAGTCAGAGCGGTCTGTGTTTGTTGTGGTTGTTCCTGGAGTTTCTTTCTTTTTACCTTTTATGCTGCCCATCATCATCATCATGATGTCCGTTTCTCGAGCCTTTCCTGTTGTAAAATTCAGTATTTGAATGCAGGTCAACAGCACATTAACCTGTGAGTGTGTGTGTGTAATTTGTTTACTGCCGTCCGCTTTTTATCGCAGTTTTCATATCAGTACGTTACGAAAAGTAAGTAGGAGTCGACTTTCTGATACCCCTCCGAAAATAAAAACCCAACCCAATCACTTCTTTTTGTTCACGTCCGCTTAGCATGATAAATAGGGCAATAATGCACTTAGAGAAATAAAGTCAGCTAGCATTAAAACAATAACTTTTATGCGCTTGAACTTCAAAGATAAACTAAATTATCCCATATTTGTTTTCTTTTATGCAAAATTAGAAAAGCTGTTATTAAATATGCATAATACCAAAGAACCGTCTTTAAATCCGTTTCTAGCCTCCCTCGATTTCTATTCTGTTATCGCCGTAGACTTGCATAATAATGCTTTTCTGCAACGCGCCAATTTTTGCTTTCTTGCTAATTGTTTTGCACTTAGCACTTGCATTTAGTTTTTTACTTATTTCGTTCTTGTCGTTTTTACTTATGCAATTCACTGAAATGCGCATTTTTCTCTCTTCTGCGAAAGAGCGTAGCAAACAATGACGTCACGCGCTTGATTGATGTCGTCATAAAGTTCGTACGAAAGAATCATATGATTTCCTATTTGCTTTAATGGCCAACACTTTAACACACGAAAACAGAAAAACACACGCTCGCCAGATAACAAAACGAATTCGCTTAAAAATAGCAGAGGTCGTTGGATGAACGAAAGCGGGGAGGGGGAGCCACACAAAACAAAATAAATAAACCCAATACATATGAACAGCTTTTATTCTTGTGAAAAAAAAAAACAAAAATATAAAACTTTGGCACAACAGCCGCGCGTGCTTGTTGACGTGTGTACATATATACATACGTGGGCACCAACTTTTATATATACTCACGTACACTTAAAAAAAGAAAAGTATTACAAACTATTGTCTTAACTTGATCTGCCTTAGGTAAATTTGGTAGCATCCATTTTTATATTATTTGAAAAATAAATTTTTATAAAAAGATTACATTTTCTATGTGTATTTGAGGGAGTGCGCTTATCTATCCCCATTTTGCCTGCCAATTGTTGTGTGGGGAATTTTTCTTTTATTGTTGACATTTTGATTAGTCCACCTCCTTTTATAAGTGCATATGTATGTGTGTGTCTGTAAGTGAAAGAGAGGGGATGCAAGACAGACAGCTGTTTTGACTTTGCAATTAAATGACAACAGCAGGAAATCAAGCTAACATACACACACACACTTGCATATTGCACTTTGTTTGCTTTGCGCTTCTCACAGCAACTATAAATCAAAATAAATTTGTTCATACAAGCACAATTTGCGTAGAAATAAAGGCAAAGCAACAAAAATTATTTATGGCTGCGCCCACCACACAAAAACAAGACTCATACATATCAAATTCACTCGATTGTATGTAAAAACCTATGTAAATGCAATGCCAATGTAAACATGTGTCAACTTTTGCCCCCCTTGCCCCATCATACTCGAACTCACCACGGCAAATGTTGCGCTCTCAATAACAAAAAAAAACTCCCCATGCTACGTTGTAAATGTAAAAGTTGCTGAGGCCATTTTTTTTGTTTTTACATGCGCACATCTCTGAAAACTGCCTATGTATTGGGTAAAATTGGTGTCGGCCGCCGTTGTGCAATGGGTTTTTTGTAGAGGGAACCCCCGTAATTTAAGCCATTTATTAGTTTGTAATTTATGGCAGCCAAGCTTGTTTTCCCACCACTAAGGTCAAATTTTGTATAACAGAATTTCGCTCTCTTTACTTGGTCGTACAAACACTCGGATATACTCACGCACTGAGAGCTTCGTGTGCCCATTTTGTATCTCGCCCCAAGCTCCAACGTCGCATTGAAAATAACAGTAAATGTTATTGTGCTCATTTCTGCTATCCTCTCTCGCCCTTTTCCTTTCCTCTTCTTTCTCTCTCTCTCTCTCTTTTGCTTTTTTGTTGGCCATGTAACTGATGGTTCAATCTCCAGCCCTCTTGTTGTTGTTGCTGGTTGGCTTTTCCCATTGCGTTTTGCCTTTGCTATTGCACTGGCAGAAATTTATAAAAACTAAAATAATATAGTGAAGAAATAACTAATTGTTTATCGAGGTCTTAAATCAGTACTTAGCCAAAATGATGCATTTGTAAATATACTCGAAAACCGTCATCAAACCCAGATGTTCTAAAACGAGTTTTAATAATTTGTTCGGTCTGAGTTTCAGAACATACTTTGAACTTTGTTAGGGAAAAGTAGAAGTGCAGTGTATGTCTCGGATTTCGCAAATAACTCTCTCTTACTCCGTCTGTGATGGATGTGTAGCTCGGCACGTCGTCTTTTCGGCTTTGAGAAAGTAAACTGATCGCGATAAATCGATACTCGCCAGGTATTTTCTGTTTAATCGATCGACATAAACAATTGGATACTTGGGGAATATATGGCAGCAGTCGGGACCGTTAGGTGTGACTGTTTTATATTCATTAAACATAAAACCAAACTCGTTTAGTTTACTACCTCTTACTACGGCTCGTTCTCGGATTGTTGGCAAAACTGGTTTTAGGCCAGACTAGATTCCCTCTCTCGCATATGTATAGTGTCTGTATCTGTGTGCGATATGCTTGACAGCCTTGAAGAGAGCAAACGGATAACAAAAAACAACATAGTTTTTACTTGTTATGTTGTTTTTGCTGTTGCTGCAATATTTTTTATGCCCCCACACCATAATATTTTGGGTATGTGGTTGTGGGCTTGTTTACTGAACGTGTTGCAACGCCATTCAGTGCAACATAGTTGCAGATAATCAATATAAAACTACATAATACATTTTAATTGCTCCCGTAATTTCTCTCGTGAATTGGTTTTAGCTTAAATAAATTACAAAGGCAATACAATAAATATGTTCAAACGCTTTTAAATGATGATACTTCCATGCACCACTCTGAAGCTCTAAAAGGCGTCGTGCAGATTATGGATTTCTGAACATCAAACGATACAAAACCTAGCCAATATCTGATCGATTTTATACAAGACAACGTTACTAATCTGCCCTATCTTTCTTATTTTTTACAGCTCGTACTGCAATTTTTACGGCAGTCACGAAGCAAAACACAAGCGCAGCCTAATAATTGGACGAACTGATTAAACAACAGTTAAAACAAACCCCGCAAAAACAACGGCGGATCAACAGTTGCTAGTTGCGAGTCGCAAGTTGCAAGTTGCTAGTTGCACGTTGCCAATTTGAAATTGCACGCTTCCACGACTGAGAGCAGGAAGGAAAGGAGTCGCTGCCGCAGCAGGAAGCAGACGAAACTTCGCTGGGCGAAAGTAAAAACAGCTAGGCAAATCAAGCAAATTAAACAAAGAAACCGCACACACACACAAAGGCGCTTTAGCCAGCCATGGAACGTGAATCCAATCCAATGCAACCCATGTGCCGCTCCGGTTGCGGCTTCTATGGTAATCCAGCCACAGATGGTCTCTGCTCCGTATGCTATAAGGTATGTACAATCGATCGCTTGCCAGAACAAGAACGCATTCCTAATCCCTACTACTCTACCACTCTCTTGCAGGACTCGCTTAGAAAAAAGCAACAGCCACCTGTGAGCAGCACACCTGTCTCCGTTCCAAGCCCACAACCTAGCCCCACATTCAGTCCGGCCATCGCAATCACCAACACCGCACAGCCCACAGTCACCAGTTTACAACAGCCACACAACGACTTCAAAGAGGTGAGCACAATTGCCGAGATGTAATGATAAGAATTGTTTTTCTTTTTACCCATTAGAATGTATTGCTTTTCAAATGATGATACTTCCATGCACCACTCTTAAGTTTTAATTAGCATTGTGCAGATTATGGATTTCTGAACACTGAAAAATACATTAACCAATTGACTTAATTACCGGACTGCTTCGATTCGACCAAATAACCATATAGGCTTTGCATTTCGTGCCCACTTTAGTGAACGTTTTCGTTCAGTCAGTGACAAAATCTTTTGACTTTCGGACTAAAATTCAGTGTAATCTTAAGTGAAATTGTTGAAGCAATTTGTTGTATGTGCTTAAAAATTAGGGGAATCCAAGAAGTTTGCCTGCAGTTTCGTATTAGTTTAGTGATCTCTGTGTTAATTGTGTTGGCGTTGATTAGTGTAGTACCCAGATGTGTCCACCACCGACTAAGCTGTTGGATCTTTAAATAAGGTAAAGTGGTCCTCGGTCCCTGTCCCCCAGAAACCGTTCCAAGACGAGCTGATCCCGAAGTGCCACTGAACTGGTAAGGAAGTTGGAAAAAGTATTCGGAAAAAATATTCTTAAAAAGTCTTAAAAGGCCTTATATCAAGATTGATAGATACATTAATTTATTAAAAAGGCTGAAGTGGGCTGAACCCAAACCTTTTTAATAACTATTTGTTCAAGACGCCTCTCTAAGAAACCCTTGGAATCCCAAAGCCAATCATCACTTCAGTTTTGTGTCACTCAGTTGTCAATACAATTCGGTTACAGTTAAACAATCAATCCATTCGGCTCCGATTTAAAATTATCCTATATTTCGGCCCGTGCTTCAAAATTAAAGTCCCTCCAAATCGCCGAGATGGTCGTATCTACTTTTGGTATTTCGCCCCAAAAGAAAACGGGGCGCGTTGCTTTCAAAAGCACTCCAGTTTCGGCCAGAGCGCGAACTGTCTCGGAATTCCGATCCAATGACACCGTTCGCACTAAGCGAAAATCACCAACGGCCGCCGGTGGAGTGAAGCGGGCCGCAGCCGGGGCGCTGGCGAGTCTGAGCGGACCGCTGGCCGGTTCGATGGGTCTTGGCCTGGTCACTGGGACGGACAGGGACGGGTTCCCGCAGCCGATTGGGGCGTCAAAGGGTACTGATTGCTCTTACTGGGTCTACCGGCGTCGCCCAGACGCACTAACCTCGTTTCCCACCTACACCTCTCTCCTACACTTTGAATCGATGCTGCAGCACAAGCGACCGCCGCCCGACAAGCAGCTCCCACCCCGACCCCGACGCCACGCCCCTTTCGCCGGGCGGGAGCAGCAGCAGCAGCCGCCTCCGCCGCAGCCGCTTCAGCCGCCGCTAACTTTGCTGCCAAGGTGCCTGGTGCCCCGATCGTCGGAGCGATCTCGCGTTCCGGCAGCATCGCGTCCACCCTTCCCTTAACCGTCGGCAAGAAGAGCTCGCTGGCTAAGCGCAAGGTCGGCGGTGGCAGGAATCCGGATCCCACAGCCAAGCGGCGAGTGAAGTTCTCGGCCAATGTGCACACCTATCCGTCGGTGACCAACACCAAGAAGTCCGCCCGGATTGGCGAGCTGCAGCTGCAGCGGAAGGTCAAGAAGCTGAAGCGGAATCGATTGCGACGGGAGGGCGGAAGTGGTGAAACGGCCACCGAATTACTAAGCTCCAGTGGCTTGGCGGCCCCAGGCAGCAACCCCCAGGATATATTCAAACACGGTACCATCGTTGATGTGGTACCGCCAACACCAGCACCACCACGCGTTCTGCGCCTCAACGTAGTGGGCAAATCCTCGCCAGCAACTGGCAAATTCGCTCTAGCACAGGCGCTTTTGCGAAAGGCGAAAAGAACAGCTGCCCAGGAAAAGGCGAAGAGAGCAGATACCCAGGAAACAGAGGGAACGCCAAAGACCAGGAGCGGAAAATCCAAGAAAAGGGGAGGCGTCAAGGCAGGCGGTGGCAGCACAAAGGCGCTACTGGGATCCAGTTCCCGTTTGGTGGAAAACAGTTCGGGAATAGCGAAGCGCAAGAAATCAGCGGCGGCGGCGACGACAACAACGAAAACAACAGCGACGGGGATTCAACGCAGCAGAGTAGCAAAGCCACTTCATGGGCGGCGAGTCTATGGAAAAGCCTGAAGGTGGCGATCAGCCGGAGAATCCCGGAGAGAAGGCAACGCAGACTTCGCACCAGGCATCAACCGATCACCAAGTGCATCCAGTGCAGCGGGAGAAGCGTCGCCGGTCCGTGTCACCCGATGGAGGCGATGTAGGCGGGGCAAAGGCGGCAGAGGGTGCAGCAGATGATGAGGGCCCTTCTACCGAGGGAACAGTGGCCAAGAAGCCGGTAAACATTCACCACACTTTGGCCACACAAAATAGATTCCCACTCAGCCGATTCGATAGAATTTTTTGGCATCAGTTGCGCACTTGAGAGTGCTCTTCTGCAATCGCCGATCGTCAAACGCCAAAAAAGACACCACTCAACACCACACAGCGGACACTTGAGCATTTTGATGAAACAGTCGAAATTGTTTGGTCTAATAAAAAAGGAAATAATATACTTAAGAAAAGATCTTCAAGGCTTTTTGAATGCAGTTCGAGAAAGAGGACGAGAATGTAGTATAGTTGTTTAAATAATAGATACTACCCAAGAATATGAATGTTATAATCTAGCTAACATATTTCGAATTGAAAAATTAGGGCTTGTAGGCAGGAAGACATTATTATTTCGACTGCAGCTGTACAAGCTCTCTTTTATAGCAGGCTAGCCTATCTGTTGATGTTGACAAATATTTTTGTCATGTGATTAAAATATCTTTTTGTTATTCATCTCGTTTCCGCAGAAAATCACCGAAGAAGCCGCCGCTGCTGCCAAAGTAAACAGCGAAGCCATCACATCGGCGACTGGTCCAAACACTTCCACACAAGCAGCCGCCTCCGCCAACGAGGAGGATGACAAGGACAAGGAAGACGATAAGGATGCCAAAAAGAAGAAGAACCGATGTGGCGAGTGCCGCAAGAAGGTTGGACTGACCGGTGAGTGTCCTGCTATTGATTCTCTGAAATTCTGAAAGAGATTTCTAACTTATATTTACTATCCTATCTTTAGGTTTCCAGTGTCGCTGCGGCGGTCTGTACTGCGCCGTGCACCGTTATTCTGATAAACATAACTGCACATTCGACTACAGAGAGCACGGCGCACAAGAAATCCGGCGCAACAATCCGGTTGTCGTTGGCGAGAAGATTCAAAAGATTTGAATTTCGATATTGTGCCAGTAACAGTAACAGTAGCCGTAGAATGATAATAACCAACTACACATAATAAGAGTACATATATATATATAAATGCTGCGCTATAACAAGAAATTAACAACCAACAAAGAAAAAAAGAAAAACAAGAAAAAAAAAAGAAAACAGCAGAAAGCATAAACATACAACAACACCACACACAACACAAAAACACACAGAGAGTAATACTATATAAAAATCGATATAAACTGTAATTGTAATATAATTATAATGTAAACAGCAGAAGCAAGCAACAATAGTACAGAGAAACGATAACCAAATACCCCGCAAAAATGCAGCAGCAACAACTGGAACAACAATTTCGATGCTCAACAACGTTAAGCTAGCAACGTCCAGCAGCAACATGCAACATGCAACAGCAAGCAGCAGCGAGCAGCGTTCAGCAGTTAACACCTTGTACATCTTGAACCAGACGCGTGACAGCGTTAGCGAGTGCAACAACAATCACCGCCGCGTTTGTGGGAACCAAACAACAACCGCAGCATCATCAACAACAACAACCAGCACAACCGATTGCCTTGGTCGCCTGCTGAGCTGGGCCGAAAAAAACCGTTTTGAAGAAAACACCATTCATCGACGATTAACGTTGAAATATTTTGTTATTCCAAATACAATTTGCAAATTGTTTGTATTTAGCTAAAACACGTCAAATAACACACAGCCACATTTACAACGACAACAAGCACACAACAAACAACAAATCTTTGTTTCATGTTACATACAACGCAACAACCTTTTAGTAAGACGATGTGTGTCATTTGTTTTTGTAATATGTTGGAGTGTATTAAATAAAAAAAATAACTAAATTCGAAGTCCTAAATATGAAATGAAAATTTTAAAGAAATTCAACAAGCCCAAATTCACACAAGAAACCAACCAAGCAACCAACTCTTTCTCAATTCTTAATTATCAGCTACTAAATGAAAAACAAAAACAAATATATATTAATTAATTATGTATATGTATTAAAAGAGAAAAAGCAAAGAAAAAATATGCAAAATTAAGCGTAAAAAAACAAAGCCCTCACCACAAAAAAAAATGTAAAAAAAAACCTGAAGAAATGAAACCAAGAATAACGCAGTTGTGTAGCGCTCCTTAATCAGTTTGCTAAAATCTAAAAAACCACGACCACGCTAGACACGAGCGAGAGAGAGAATAGCTAGAGAGAGTGAGAGTGAGAGAGAGGAGAAGGAGCAAGCGTGATTAGTGTAAAGCAACTTGGAGCATAACAACTCCCTATACATAGAAATTTAAATATAATTATAATTAATTAGTGAATCAAAGCAGGCGAATGCAGTGCAAGCGGCGTTTTTCTTCGTTTTACTTTTTGCCCCTCCTGTCCCTCTAACATTAAATTGAATTGATTTTAATTTTCTGATTTTTCGATGAATTATATATATATATATGCATAATATTAACTATATCTACATCTATATATGGTAGGATATGTAAATCGTGTGACGCATACACATATATAGTTTTTTTTTCGGGTATATGCACATTAATGCGAAAAACAAAAAGATAAAAATCAGCTAAAACACATATTCTATCTATATATACATATAGTGGTTACAAAAAAATTCTGCAAAATGGCAAACAAAAAATGCAAAAAATACAATAAATATATATGGTTCGTCTTTAGATTTTTATTGCTTTAAGCGTTATTTAGTTTTTCTTTGTTTATATTAAAACACACACATGCGTACACAACAAAACAAAACCCTTTTTAATTTTGCTTTCTTCACTCTGTAGTACATAATTTAAATTTTTATTCAAACCAATTACACCTATGCAAGTAAATTTAAATCTAGAGATAAATTGTGTTGTTAACCCCTACGAAAAAAATACAAAAATGGAAAAAAAAATCAAAACCAAAATTTTAAGTAAAGCTAAACTTACCAATAACAAAGAGGAAATACTGCAATAAATTTTGATTCTACAATTAAAATTCCCACACGACCAAAACCAATCTAATAAGCATATTTGGCGCACAGAACTGAAAGGAAACGTTTTCGCAGCAGGAGTAAAATAGAAGCCGACACCAAACACCAAACTCGCCTTTAACCAATCGCCTTCCCAAACTCTTCGCAAGAGTTTGCCATGGGGACACTTTCTCCGCCAGATCGATTCTACCTAGAGTGCAATCCCTGCGCTGCTAGTTATATGTTGATCGGGAACGGGAATCTCGGGGTCAACGCGGGTCCACTTGGTGACCTTCCTTGTGCTCAGAAGATTCCGGACAAGAGTAGAGCAAGCCAATCCAGCAATAGTCAAGTCCAAACGCAGAGGGAGGTGTCAAGTAGTCAGGACATTTGAACTGTACAAAATCAGAGATGGAAAATGCAAAACTAGTAACCAACTTCAATATAATTTTTAACGAAAGAGGATCCTAACTGTACAGAGCCAGAGATAGAATGAAAAAGATTAGGGATGTGAGGAACTGCAATTAAACAAGAACAGCTAAATGTCATTTTAATTATAATTTCCCCTCAAAATAATAAAGGCAACACTTTACATATACGTATATCATAATTTAATTGATTAAAACTTTAAAATTAATTAGTAAAATTGTATGCATACAGAACACACAAAAGAAGAATTTTAAGATGTAACGAACAAGTTTACCACAGTTTAAAAACGTTTAAAAACTGATTTACTAACTCTAAAAGAAAAAGAGTTGAATAATAAAATACAGTTTAAAATTTATTTCAACATTTTTTGCATAGTTGTAGTTTTCGTTTACCATAATTTACAACGCTTTAGTGTGCTTTTAGTTGAAATTGTGTTTATATGTTTAACGAAAGAGTAAAGTGAAAAGTGAAAAGGCAAATAATAATTATAACTAAGCGTAATAAATTTTATTATTATTAACCAACGTTTATTCTAGTAGTTCTTTATTATATTACCATAATAATTATTATTTTGTTGTGTGCACCTCTTAGTCACTTTTGCGCTTATAAGCTAATCAAACAACACACAAACAATCACTCCTCCAATACCGATCCCCCCATCCCAGTTTACCATCCCTCCCCCCTCAGAATTAACCCCCTTTCCGCCAAACTCTATTTGTGTTAAATCTTTTGCAATTGCTAGCCGAATTTGATGTTTGTTTGACTCTTACTTTGGATATGTGAAGTGTTTTGTTGACGACGGTGAAGGAGCAGCAGAGACGAAACGAAATTAGTTTATTTAAGCGTGTGAATGGGAATCAATGAACTTGAATATGATGAATGCATCCAATATCTAAAACTTTATGCGTATATAAATATTGTACTAATGTGTAATTGTAATTAAAAACGTCGGATGAATATCTGCAGCCAGATGGGTTGAGGTTGAGGAACAGTGAACATATATTTAACACAGAAACGGTAAAGCTAGAAAATCTAAATAGAAATAGATATATACGTATACCTATACAAGAGCCTCAGATCCGGGCGTATATAAGAGCAACAACTATTTTAATTAAACTTAAACAAATGCATAAACAAAACAATAAAATAGAAGATACAACAAGAGCAACCACAACAAATTTCAAATAAACGAAGTAAACAATATTAACTTCAAAATTTATATAGCTAACTGGAGACAATGTTCAATAAAAGGCGATAATATAATTTTTAAAACAATTGCATGTTTTATTTTCTGAGATTTTGTTTGGATAAATATTTCGACATAAGTTTTTGTTTTTTCGAAATCTATTCGGAACCCAAGCCAAGCCAAGGTGCTAAGTAGTTTAGAATCGATGAGGAGTGCGTAATGGGTTATACTTGTAAATGGCCAACTGAATAGATCGACTGGCTCTGGGTTTTGTTTTAAATAATGGTTCGTTGGCTCTTCATGCAATAGTTATAACCTAACTAAAGTCACAGCAAGTGTTCAAAAGTAAAACTCAGTAACTACCTAAACTCAGCAAGTAAATAATAATACATTTTGTGTGCTTATTTCGTTATAATAATTTTTAAAACAAAGTAAAACAGTTAATCAATTCATACAGAAAACGAAAAATGTTTCGATCAGTCGATAGAAAAGCTGCTGAAAACTCAAAAAATAATTCGGAAGCCCAACCAGACAAAGAGAATAAAGCAACAATTACAATATTTGACAGATTCTTCGCGAATGATAAAATAATGAATGCTTAGATCTAAGGCAAATCGAAAGAAAATTATATATATATATATATACGAGACATAACAGTTAAATGAATGATGCAGCAATGTCGTATGAATAACAGAAACATATATCTTAAGAATAAATGAGTATATATATAGACTATATATACACACATATGTATATCTGATAAATGAGAAATCGCTAAAACTGATAAAATTAAACCTAAGTAAAATTTAAAAGAAAATACAAAACACGGAAAGAAATGGAACTAATAAAGAGAATTATTCTGAGAAATATACAACGAACGTCTTTTCACTGAGATGATAATGAGGATTTGAAATGTTCTGAAGAATATGATAATGCGGAGAAACTTCTCTTTAATGGATATATATTTTGTTTGCCTAAGCTGGGATCACCTGCTTTTACTTAGCATTAAGCAATTGATTTAAATGCTGTGCGATACGAGCTAATGGGAGCGATCAACAAACATTCCCATTGCAATCTCTGATTGTGCGCAATAAAATATTATTCAGATAAGGTTGGTGGTGGGGATCAAGCAAAGCAACTGTAAACGTATATCTCTGGTTAGGGAACTCCACAAATAAGCGACTCTCGGCTCTCCAAGATCAGTTCTCCACGGGCTTTCAACGTGATCGGTCGCCAACGAATCTAAAAATATCTTTCGAAAAAAAGGAAAAAAAGTTTAAATTGTGACCCACATTGAAAGCTGTGAATATGTCAACCGTACAGACCGGTGAGTTGGTTGAGAACTCAGCGAGATAAGAGATATTCTCGGACTTATCTTAGCTCATCAAATAACGAAACTTTCCTCTGCTTATTATGTATTCAGTTCTGGGCACTATAACCCCAAATTTGTTGGGGCGAACTTTGACCCACGAGCATGTGGCCCTCGATTTCGAGCACTTCTACCGCCCGCCGCCTCCGGATTTCGAGAGCGAGCTGAAGGCCAAGATCAGCATGTCCACCCTGGGATATGTTCGCCTTTATCCGTATTCCAGTAAGGAGAATGTCCGCTTTTACGATGGCGATGCTCTGGAGGCGGCCAAAAAAGATGTGCTGCTCTACAAGAAACACGGCGGTGGCAGCATTGTGGAAAACAGCAGTTATGGCCTTAAACGCAATCTGGAGTTCATTGTGGAATTGGCCAAGAGCACGGGTGTGCATTTCATCGCGGGTACAGGTCACTACATCCATGCCATGCAGGATGCCACACATGCCAGCTTAACTGTGGAGCAGATGAGTAGTTTGTACTCCAAGGATATCATCACTGGTTTGGAGGTCAATGGAAAGATGGTCAAGTGTGGATTTATTGGGGAGGTGGCTAGCGTTTATCCCATTCATGGTAAGCTAGTTAATAAACTCAAGGAATATCTTGTAATATTATTGCATTTAATACTTAGATTTTGAGAAGAATGCCATAAAGGCCGCAGGAGAAATCCAGGAAGTTCTGGGCTGCGGTGTTTCCATGCATCCTCACCGAGTAACCAAAGCTCCTTTCGAAATCATGCGTCTTTATTTGGAGGCAGGAGGACGTGCCGATAAGTGTGTTATGTCCCATTTGGACCGTGAGTATTATCCTATATTAAAAATCGAACCTACTTAATCTAAAATATATTTTAATATTTTTAAGGAACCATTTTCGACATCGATGAGCTGCTGGAGTTTGCCAAGCTGGGCTGCTACATCCAGTACGATCTCTTTGGCACCGAATGCTCCTTCTACCAGCTGAACACCAGTGTGGACATGATCTCCGATGGCCAACGAATCGACAACCTGATAAAGCTCATTAACGAGGGTTTGGTGGACAAGCTGCTCATGTCCCACGACATCCACACAAAACATCGATTGGTGGGCTAAATTTACCCTGCTTGTAAAAACTTTCTCCTATAACTTTTGTATTTTTAGACATCCTACGGCGGTCATGGCTATCACCACATCCACACCAACATATTGCCGCGGATGTTCGGGCGCGGAGTTACTGTGGAGCAGGTGGAGCAGATGACTGTCACAAACCCGGCAAACTGGCTGGCCTTCAACCCCTAGAGCCATGTTTTTATTTGGTAGCATCTTTAACCTGTTTATTATTTTATTCGCCGTTGATAAGATTAGATTTGCGATTTTGGCAATAATAATTGGGCGTGCCTACAAACTCAGGCTTATCACTTATTACTAAAATAGAATTGGGGGGCTCGTGCGATTGTTTTTTGGAAAGATGCACTTAAAAAAGAATTATTATTATTTTGGTACTCAGACATGGTTTACAATTGGTCTGGTTTTCAGACTAGACGTTCTTGAAAATTTTCCAAGATTTTCAAATATTTCCACTGGAGATTAAGGATTATTCTGTAAACTTCTTATCGCTTTTGACCCGCATTCGATATACAAAATCCCCTTGTTTCACCATTGATGTTGCCAAAAAAAAAAAGGGAAAACGAGTATCAACGAATCGTTATCGTTGTTATTGTTTCGTTTGCGATTGGCAGAGCCTTCTTATCAGTTAGTCGTCAGGCCAGGCCCCATAAAAGTGACCAGCCGGCAATTGAACGCAAAGGTGCCGTATTTACGACCCAATATAGAGTCTCCCCATCCATTTGCCTATATATACCAGTTCCGATTATTGTCGCATTTAGCAGTATTCAGCGAGCAGTTATCGACGGAGGTCCTAGAACGAGTTTATATTGCAATGTCCCAGTCAGTGAAGACGGAAACACCCAAGGAACCAAATGGTTCGCCTGCAAAAGCGGTCAATGGAAAGTTGGAAGCCCTCAAGAGACCCAGACATGTTTCTGGAGGCGTTGAGGAAATCGTGGATCCCTTCTGCGATCCAGAAAAACCACAACGTATATCCTTCCACGATGTCACCTCGGCTGCATTTCTCATTCGCGGCGGAGTGGAGAGAACCCCTTGTCCGGTAGATATCTTTATAATTCGTGTATTGGAATATATTCTATAAGGAATGTGATTCACAGAAATCCACATCATCCGATCTGTATGGCATGGACTTGTATTTGAAAAAGGATTTCCTGCAATACACAGGCAGGTGAGATAAAAATAACACCAAGTTTAATGTGTTTTTAAATGTAATATCAGAATGAAAGAGTTTTTTTTAAGACAAATTAAGAAATTATATAAATTGGTCGGTGAATACATGAATTAGATTAGCTATCAATCCAATAGGTATATAGTCTATTTTAAATGCTCTTAATTAATTATATATATTGTTTTGTGTTTTTTGAAGTGCATATAGGTCCGAAGTGCAATTTCGGGTTTATTATTGTTTATAATAATCTGATTCGTTTTGCATTTATTAATCATTGCGTATACTATGAATATTGTCTGGGAGTGTCATTTTCCGTAATTTGATAAGAGGAATTCGTTTAGATTTGCATTAGACCGAAGTTCGACTATCATTTTTCAGCCTCTGTTTGTTGATACTTCAACCATCTCAATTGAATTGAGTACAACGCACTTCTATTATTACGACAAAATTTTGGTGATAAATTTTGGCTACACATAAAAGTCAGAGATCCGATAAGATAGGCTTTAATTGGCAGATAAGGATCGATTGACTCAAATTAATAGCTGTTGCTAATTGATTTTTGATTTTGTGAGTGGCATGTGACTGATATACCCAATTCACAATTTTGACAGCTTCAAGGAGCGTGGCGCACGCTATGCTTTGCTATCATTAACCGAGGAGCAGAAGCGAACCGGAGTCATCAGTGCCTCCCTGGGAAATCACGCCCAGGGTTTGTGCTACCATGGCTGGAAACTCAATATCCCAGTCACCGTGGTGATGCCCAAGGCTGCTCCCATTATGAAGATCCAGAAGTGCAGGAACTACAAGGCCAGGGTAATTGTCGATGGAAACGACATGGGCGAGGCCAAGTCCCTGGCCATGCGAATGTCCCGCGAGGAGGGTCTACTGTATGTGAATGGCTACGATCATCCACATATTATGGCTGGCCAGGGAACCATTGGACTGGAAATACTCGAACAGGTCCCGGAACCGGATGCTGTGGTGGTACCAGTTGGAGGAGGTGGACTGATTGCCGGGGTAGCCACTGCTGTGAAGGCATTGTCCCCCAAAACCAAGATAATTGTGAGCATACTTGATTTGATTTTAGAACGAAATAATTATTTATATATTAATTATATATTATATTTTTTTCAGGGTGTGGAATCGGAGAAATGTGCCAGCTTCACTCGTGCCATGGAAAACAATGGACCCATCCACACTCCCATTAAAAATACTTTGGCTGATGGTTTGGCCGTTCCCAAAGTTGGCTATAATGCCTATGCCACAGCAGTGCCACTAATTGATCGCATGGTGGTCGTTTCGGAGGAGTGGATTGCCGTGGCCATCCTTCGATTAGTTGAGGAGGAGAAATGTGTGGTGGAAGGAGCTGGTGGTGCAGGTTTGGCTGCTATTTTGGCAGGACACCTCGATGAACTCAAGGGAAAGAAGTGAGTAGTATAAATATTTGAAATAAATTAAGAGGGAATGTATTTTATAAATATTAAATTTATTTTCCTTTTAGAGTTGTGGTTTTGCTGTGTGGAGGAAACATAGACACCACAGTTTTTGGACGCTGTTTGGAGCGAGGATTGGCCGCCGTGGGTCGTCTGGTCAAGTTCAATGTGGAGGTCAGCGATCGTCCCGGTGGAATCAACGATCTGTGTGCCCTGCTGGTTCGGATAGGAGTCTCCATCAAGGATATTATGCACGAGAGAGCCTGGCTGAGGGATGTCTACACTGTGGAAGTGAAAGTCATTTGCGAAACCGTCGACTGGAGCCACAGTTTGGAGCTGAAGAACGAGCTGAAGAAGTTCTACTCGAAGGTTCAGTTCTCCGACGTTCCACTGGCCCTCACCAACGATCCCGCCGAATCGTAGATAACTCCTGTATATAGTATATAGTACACATATGATTTATTCACTTCAGCAGCGCAGCAGAACCTAAAGCTTTAACTTAGAGCTTAGTTGTATAAGTGTAAACATAATCGTAGTCGAAGTAGAAATGTAAATTAGGTGTAAATAAATATACATAAAATACAAAGTCTAAACACAAATTGACGAACGTAGGGATTGCTTAATTAACAAATTATGCTTCTCTGTTTGAGAACTAAAACACAAACAACTAAGTGTATAAATTCATGAGCTTAGCCTACGAAGCGATTCTTCAAGCAGTCACACAATATCAATTCTGTTTTTTTTTTATTTGATTTTTTTTGCTATTTTGTTTGTTTTTCGGTTTAAGATCTTCTTGCGGTTTTTGGCACATTAAGGATTCATTACATACGCTCAGTCAGACAAACACACACAGTACAGTACGGTATATATCGAAATTTACATTTACATGGCTAGAAAATATATATGTCTCTATATAAATATCGTTTATGTGGTAAAATGTATAGTGTATGCTATATGCTATATGCTATTTCATAAATACAGGCATCTCGTTGTTGAAGTCCTCGGACGTGACGTACTTTAAAAGCGCTGACTAAAACTACATTGAGTATGCTAACATAGGTTCCCATTGAGTTCCGGCTGCAGTTCGAGCCACTCTCAGTGGCTGTTGTCCAGGCGGAGGATCAGGGCGTCCACCACGTTGTAGATCTCGTCGAAATGCGGCCGGGATTCGGCATCGGCGGCCCAGCACTTCAGCATCAGTCGGTACATCTCAGCTGGCGTGTTTTCTGGAGTAGGCATGCGATATCCTTTAAGAATAATTTAAATATTAACATTACTTGGAATAATGTATATATAAATCTAGAGCTTACCCGTATCGATGCGCTCTCTAGCCCTTGAATTGCTCATTCCGGAGTAGGGAGTATCGCCCTTGGAGAAGATCTCCCACATCAGAATGCCATAGGACCACACATCGCACAGAGAGGTGTACTTTCCAAAGTTGAGGGCCTCCGGAGCAGTCCACTTCACAGGTATTTGCTTCATGCCATCGGAAACTATTTCAATAAATTCCTCATTAGTTATAGTTTTTTCATTATTTAAGATAGTTTTTTGTACCTATGTACTCCTCTTCTTCGCGTGACATTCCAAAATCGGAGATCTTTACACTGTGTTCCAGGTCAACCAGGCAATTACGAGCCGCCAGATCGCGATGTATGCAGTTCTTGGACTCCAAGTACCGCATGCCTTAAAAAATTTATTATTCTTTGTTAATTAAATACATATTAAATAAGGTTTTAAGTAAACTAACCCGCTGCCGCATCTCTGCACATTCCCATTTGTTGGCGATTGGTGAGGCCATTGGAGTTCTTACGCAAATAAGTTAGTAGGGAACCACCTGAAATATCGAGTATAATCACATTTAAACTCAATAAGAAGTAATTTATTAATATTGTGCTCTGAGCTCACCCAGCACCAATTCCATGACAATCATGATGGGCTGCTTCTGCACACAAATGCCAATTAGTTTGACGATATTAGGATGGTCATATTGCTTAAGGATGCGTCCCTCCTGCAGGAATTTGCGCTTCTGTTCATCTGGCAAAGTCATACGGCAGGTTTTGACAGCCACATCGAGCTTGGTGGACTTTAGTTTGGCCTTGTAGACATCACCAAAGTTGCCCTAAAATCAGAAATGTTTCATAGTTATAAAGTAATTTAAAATACGTATTAAAGAACTGGTAGATTACCCTGCCAATCCTCTCGAGAAGCACCACATCATCGTTGCTCAGCTCCCAGCGTTCGCGGCAGACGGGTCGCCGTAGAATGGCTCCGGATTTCACAGTCACCGGAAGTTCGGAGTGATACTGGTGCATTATCAGCTCCTGAATGCTGGCAAACGGAGGACCCTCGAACCGGAAGTTACCCTCGCCGGTGGTCTGGACGATGAAGTGTTTGTGGCCATTCCAGCAGACACTCAGCACTATCTGGCTCTCCTCGTTTCGAATCGTTTCGCGGACCAGGAAGTCGCCATCATTATTCAGAAGTCGTACAACCTCTTCACGGGGCAAAACACCGTGGAACCATTCCTCCTCGTAAAGCGGTCGATTCGTGGACAGTGATATCTGCAAGATCCAGACAATTAGCCAAATCTATATCCCCTCTTAGCCGAGAGATTAGTGAAAGCATGCAGAGCAGAAAAAGTAAGGAAAATAATAAATAAATTAGCTGAGAATCGGTTAACACGCCATTTCCACATTTCCAAACAGCCGGCGGAAATGCGTGGGTGCAATTGCCTCTGACGAAATTGCAGTAGCTTCGGCACCACATTTATATACACGCAAATTAAATATAATTAAATACTGCAAGCAGAAGGCGTTTTAAATCAGAAATAGATGCTGTTACTTGATGGGAAAAATATGGATCTACGTTCAAGGTTGTGCCCCATGTGTGACTCACAAACACTTTCGATTTGGGCCGCTTTTTTCTGGCCGGCGGAATTGGGCGACCGGTGAAGACAATTGTCTCGAAAATTCCCCCATTCTCGGCTCCGGCGTAGTTGCTACTCTGTCCGGAAGCCGTGCTGCTCATGATGGAATTGTGGATTCCAGATGCTCTAAAACAACTATGTACTTAAACTTGCGCAATTGTCTCACTGCAGAAACCGATTCCGATTCCGAAATAGTCACGCGTTCTGCCGGATACAAATGTGATAGATCTCCAACTTTTCACTGGCCAAACAGACGCCAAACATTTCAATGGACTAGATTAATGGCGACTGCTGGTCGCTATCCAAACAGCTCGCCCGATCGGTGAGAACTAAAGTATATAATGGGCTTGTGCTCTCCGCTGAACTTGTCTCTTGGCTTTCGACTACTTTCGCTCTTTTTCGCTGGCACGCACAAGTAATTTTAGCAATTGAAAGGGTGAGGAAATCTGGGGGAGATTCCTATACCCTTTAGATAAAAAAAATAAAAAAATAATTATATAACCCATTTAATTCCTATTTTATTCCTAGTTGATTGGCTATGAGGTGTATTGTTTTAAAACCAAAATAAATCTTTCACATTCTTATACTGTACTTAAATATTATACGATTTCTACCTAAGGTTTTGCTTTAATCGAAAGTAAAGGATTTAATGTACTAAACTACAAATGTTTTATTGTTTTGTATGTGATTTATTCCTGAAATAAATATTCAAATCAGGACAGACCGACTAGCCGTCATACCCCACTTGTGGATTGTGGCTAAGGCCACCCTGTGTTTTATTTCGGGATTGCTCTATAAAAAGCTCTTCCCCACATGCTCTTCAAAGTTGAACGTGAGTGAGAAACATGCACAATCAATCAAACATGCAAACTGAAGGGGCAAGCAATGCGATTCGATGCGATGCAGTGCGGATTTTCGGATCAGTGAGGTGGCGTCATGTGGCGCCCAGTTGGCTTAGATACTCTCGATGCGGTGGGTGCAGTTTTCTCTCGGATACGGATACGAATACTGATTCTGATACGGATCAGCTACTGATACGGTTACGGATGCGGATTCGGATTCGGAGACGGGGAACTCACACTGGCCGCCAGGCTGGGCACACAGTAGCAGTGATCCTTCATGCTGAGCACATCGTCACTGCCACTGTCCTCGTCGTTATCCTGATCCTCGTTCTCATCCAGCTCCCCGGAACTGGATTCGAATGGCTGATCCTTGTGGCCGGAAATTTGGACGGTTGGCTTTGCGGTTTTCTGGGTAACCGACGGGCAGTTACAGAATTGCTCTTCCCCAGTGGATCCTTCCGGGAGATCCGCCTCGAATTCCCGGGCAAAGTCGAAGACACTCTTGCTGGGATGGATGCGCCTCCTTTTAGTGCACTGTTTGCACGGCTTGGATCGCTTCAGCTGGAAGTTGAGCAACTTGGAGCGGAATGTGTTGCGGATGGCCTTCGACTTCTTCTGGATCTTGGGCACCTTGAATTTCAGTCTTGAGTTTTCCTTGGACGGCGTCGTGGTCGTTGTGGTCGTTATGGTTGTGGTGATCGTGCTCGTGATGATCGTCGACTGGGAGGCACTGTGATTGCTATTGCTGCTCGAGTTGTTGTTGTTATTGTTATTATTGTTATTGCTGTGATGACTGCTGGAAGTGCTACTGTTCGTGGGGCAATCACTGCTGCTGGAATGCTGTTGGTTGTGAGGAGGCCTCTCCGCGTTCTCCTCCTCATTTAGGGTGTGATTCTTGGTCATCCGCACGAGCGGACTCTTGGAGAACTCCTTGAGGTTGCTGAAGATGTTGCTGATGGACTTCTGGGTGAAGGAGAGCGATCGTTTCTTGGAATGACCCATGTCCTTGGAGGATCGGCACTCCGAACTCGAACTGGAGCTGCGTTTGGTGTGGCTATCGGGATCTTTGGTTAGCTTCCTGGTTTGTATGTGATTCTCCTCTGCACTTTCAATGGCATTTAGGTCATCACTGGGTTGCAGACTCCTCTTCAGACGATCATCCAAAACCCGATTGATCTCATCGATCTTGTCCAGATGAGCATCGATGGAGTTTTGCGGAGCTACCCTGTTTATTTCTATTTGGATTTCCTTTTTATCTGGCACTTCATCCTCGCTCTCCGGACTGGGTGGACTCACCGCCTTCCTGTCCAGCTCCAGATCCGCGTAGATGTGGTTGTTATTGGTGTTAGTAAGGACAGCGGCGGTTAGCTGGGTGAGCGGGGCGGGCGAGGCGAGGACAACAACGGCGGCAGGCTCCTCGTCCTCGCCCAAACACAACATGGAACACTGGGTGCGGTGCAGGGGCGGCAGATCGGGCGGGATCGAGGATCTAGTGGCGATCTCCTCGCCCAGGTAGTGAACACTGGCTGCCTGGCGCAATCGCCGGTTAGTAATGGGCTCATAGCGTGCAGGACTGCGGGGATTCCCCTCCCCGTTCCCAATCCCGTCCCTAATTACCGACAAGGATCCCAGGCTCTGTGAGCGCGGCTGCATCTTGTTGAAGCGTCCCTGCCGCGATCTCGTCATCGGCGTCGTCGGTTGCGGGGTGCTCTTCCGCTTGAAGTGCCTCCCCCTTCCCCGCAGAAGGGTCAGCACCCCGCCGCGTCGCATCAGCTCGTTCATGATGCCCAGACCTGGTGAACTGGTGGAGTTGGACCTCTGCTAGTGGGTTAGGTTTCGGAATGTTTTCATGGGTAAGTGGTGATGTGTTCGAGGGATGGACAAAGGGCAGCATCCAGAGAGAAAGAAATGGTTTCATCACACGAGATTAGATTAGTTAGACCATCACCAGCTACTTCTTACGTTTAACCAGAACCTATTTGAATGAGGTGAAGAGTTCCACTGACCTGCTGCTCGTTGTTGTAGCCGTTCTCGATGAAGTTCTGCTCGAGGGTCAGGTGATCATCGCATCCGGAGGGCAGCTCCTCGCATCCCACCTCGTTCAGAGCACACTTGATCATGTCCACCAGCTTCTGCTTCTGTTTCTCCTGGCAGCGCAGTGCATTTAGGTCCTTTGATTGGCGACTGATTAAGGGAGATTAAAAGAAAAGTTGAGTAAGGTTTAAAGTACAACATTTGTTTATTATCTTGTATGGAAAACAATATAAGCAATTGTTTGCTATCAACTGAGATGTTCTATAACTTTCTTGAATTTTTCACAATTTATTTTAAAGTTAAAAGCTTACTTACCACTGACTATCCTTGTTGGACTGAATGCCATTGGATGTGTTGCTGCCATTGGAAATAATGCTGCCATTGGCCACCGGAGAACCACCATTCACATGCTCGATCATCTTCAGCTGCTTCTCCTGGCATTCCTTGACGGCTCCCTCTAATTCCTGGAGGCGATTCCTCAACCAGTCAACCGTGAGGTTGTCCACCGTCAAGGTGCTTGACTGTAGTTTGCCGGGTATGTCCTCAATGAGCGTTTCATCGAACTGGAAGAGCAGCGGGGTTGTGGGTGTTGTTCTGGGGAAATAGTTTACTGATCAGTATCTTTATAAACATAATAAATCAGTAATGCTCACTTGTGTTTCTCGGTGAATTCGCCGTACTCCTCGGCAGGATTGATGCCGCCTATCACAGTGTCGATGCGCTTCTGTATCTCCTTGTATTTGTCGGCGGTAAGATCGCCGTACTGAGCTGCCTCCTGCAGGATGTTGCGCCACAGCAGAATGAAGCTCTCCTGGACGGACTGCTGATGCTCCAGTAATCCTGGCAGCAGCACAGTGCGGAAGTCCTTCTCCACTTCAATGGCTTCTGTGATGGAAAGAACGTACTCGTTGTGGGTGAGGTGCAACTTGCGGCAGGCCTTCTGATATTTGTCGCGCACATCGTCCAACTTGCGGCCACTGCGACTGGGTGCTAAAAAATATAAAGGATTATTACATTAAAACTTAGATAAATAAATCGAAAATTCAGATTTTCAAAATGCAAAAATAATTATGGTATTTCCACGGACTTAATTGTGGAATACAACAATGCACAACTTTTGATTGTATGGTTAAATTGGTAACATTTACTATAATAGTGCCTTGTACTGTAATTCATCAATATTTATTGAAATCTTTTATAATTTTTTTTTTTATAATGTTATTTTTCGTATGGATTCTCATATCAAGGATCCCTTTACTCACCCTTTATGTAGTGCTCCTCGAAGCGCGTGCGCAGCGCCTTGTAGCCCTCCAAATGTTTTTGGTATTCGGCTTTCTTGCGAACCACCTCATCGGTGAGCTGAAATGGCCAGAAAGAAGCGGGTTTTTGGTTTAGTTTGGGGCTTTCAATGCGGTCAGCACACGTGTGCCTCGATCATTGGGGCAGGGCACTTTCCAAATAAAAAAAATCAGGGCTCATTACATCATTATTACCGCCGGCTTTAATACGTGTTCGTCTTTTGTCGCGCACTGTGCTCCACTTGCGAGCAGTCGCATAATGGTAACTACTGCGGTCCCCCCCTCCAAATTCGATTCCATCGACACCTATCTGCTCCATTGAGTATCTCTCACACTTTCTTCGCAAAACATTTTCTCACGTTTGTCCATTATGCAAGGTACACGTCCCACCGCAAAGCCAACAAACACAAAACACTGAAAAGCTGAAAAACTGAAAACGGCGGCTTCACAAATGACTGATAAGTGACTGGCCAAAAGGATTGCATTGCATTATGCAGCTGAGCCAACATCCCAGCATCCGTTAGCGTGTGTCAACAAAATCAACAGTGACTTTGTTGCCGAGGACAGAGGACTGAGACTTTAGCTTGGGGCAACCAAATCCAATGCTAAGCCAAAGCCACAAACTAATGGCAGCCAAGTGCAGTTAGTCAAGCAGCTGCAAAGTTGCTGAGTTAAGGTGGCATGGACATAATGCAGTTGATGCTGCCTACAGTGGGTGAGGCATAATATTTATAAATGACTCAAAATTGTTTAAATATGCTAAACAGCTTCAAAACATATTCCTTTCATTTTCATTACTGGCTTAAAGCGTTTTAAAATCAATCAGGAAGTCGATACACAAAGTTTTGCATATTTAAAGTTCATAAAATAAATTGGAATAATTAATGCCATATATTAGTTTTCAAAAATAAAAACTAGTAAACCGAAACCATAAAATGATTGAATTTGCATAGTTTACCATAATTTATTGATTCTATTGTTGAAGTAATTAATTTCATACTTATATATTTTTTATATTTTTGTATGAGCAAATGAAACCTTAAGATGGATTGCATTCATATAATTTTATTACCAACAATTTGACAGAATTTATCCATGGTTACCAGTTTAGCCTGCAACTTGAGCCGCTCGCTGTTGATGTTGCTGTTGTTCAGTCGACTGTGCATATTAATTGCAGACAGTTTTGCACTTTAGCGGACTAAACGCGGAAAAGACCGGCGGAGAAAAAGACGACTTAACTAATTGAATGATCGGACAAGGCGGCTTGAGAACCCGAGCCAATGAAAATCTGTAGAAAATAGCGAGGAGAGCGAAAATCAATTCGATAGCCCGCACATATAAATTGCTGACCCAGTTAGCCGATTTGGCATTGAAAGTGTTGTCGAGAGTGTTTCTCGAGAGTTATCTTGAACTGAAATTGGCTGCAATCTAGACAACTTGTTGCTATTGCGCTGGGCTACGTAATAACCAATTCTGTAAGGTTCTGGTTGGGTTTGTTCTTGTTGGTTTTGTGTGTTTTTTTTCGGCAAGTGGTTAAGCAACTTTCAATGCCTTTGCAGCTGCTAATTTGCCTAAAAAGTTGTTTAGAAAGAGAGAGCGACAGAGCGAGCACAAGTAAAAGAAATAAACATGGCTCGAAAGTGGGTCATGCGCGCCGTATTTTTCTTACCGCTCGGCGGCTAAACAGTCAATAGCATTTCGGTTTGTGGTAACCCCTTTGCCCGCCGGCCGGATCTCGCCTCACACACAAATGATTGCCAATTTTTTTCGTTCAACTTTTTTACTCTTTTTTTTTGTGGAAAGAACAGCGTAGCCAGTGAATCCGAATCCGAAATCCGAGGAAAGTTGCTAATCCGCCACCTGCACTCAGCCAGCGAAACTTTCTCGGTTTTCTCACGCAATTTCCTCCGCTGAATTCGACAACGAATCCGAATTTGAATTTGAATTTGATTAGATGCTCGCTGATCTTCTAGCTCGCGACAACGCAGAGTTTAAAAATGCCGAATCTATATGTAAATGCGGCGATGACCTAATGGAATCTGTGACAAGTGGTGCCAGCTGCCACGTTTTGCATTAATCAGCTTGTTCTTTCTGTTCTGTTTGCTTTCCGATCCGATTTTCTGCCTCTGCCTCCGATTTCTGTATGCTTTGGCAAGCGTTTATATCGGACATCAAATTAAGCGGAAAATTCTCCCCTAATATTATTTAAATTTAAATGAAATTTGAATGAGCTGCAAGACGTCTGTGACTCAAGATTGAGATTAATGCCTTTGCTCAAAAGAGCTTTTTATGACATATCAAAAGATGACATCTTCAAAGATTTTGACATTGCCAAAATATGTCCGCTATATTTTCATTGTCAAACACGTCATTGTTTAGTATTCATTTGGCCTTTTCTTTATAATTTCGCACATTTAATACTTAACGGTTTTTGGCATGATTGATTATTATATTTTCCACTTGTTTGAATCTTCTATGAAATTTTATATGATATATACAACATTCGTGTAGTGTACGCCACCAGTCATACGAGTTATAACAATAAAAAAGCACAACTCAATCAAGCGAAATTCAATTCATGTCTACACTTCCAAAGAAATTGCCTCTAATCAAAATAAATTTGTCAAATGTATTGCGGAATCGTGATGCAATAAAAATAAACCGCGCCAAGAAACCCGAGAGAGGAAAAAAAATATGGAAAACAAGTCCAAAGCTAAGCCCTAGACGGAGTTGCATTTGTGTCTCTGTTTTTTTTTTTTTTTTTCATTTTTTTGATATTTGTCAGCGCGTGAGAGTTTTTCTTGGTCGGCAGATTTGAATATGAAACGGCGTGGCGGCAGCTGTGACAAAAAAGTCGGGGAAATAAAACGATAAGAAAAGCCACACGCGCTTGGGAATTTCCTTTGTTGTGGTCGATGGGAGAGGAAGGGGGAGGGGGAAAAATCAATGCAGCCGGTTGTCCGGGAGTTTTTCAATAAATAAAAACTGACGGCGGCGCCCCACAAGATGTTGCATAAGTGCTGACAGCGTTGACAATAATAATGATGTTTTATGAAACAACATTTTGGGATCGTTTAAACGATGCCGTTTAGCCAATGCAATTGTGAATTATGCAAATTTATGACCGTTGGTCAATACACGAGTTTCCTCCTTGGACCAGGGATTTCTATCCATTTCCCCAATGGGAATGAGCCGCCCAGACTCGTTGTGGCTTTAATCGGGGTTCGTGCCAAAGCCTTTGCCTTCGCTCTTTTCCTGGTCAATGAACCCCCCGCCTGGCCAACAATGGACACGCCAATATTAACGAGCAACCCGTTTTGATGGCTTTAACTGTAATCGCTCTGTTAGCCCGTTTGGCTTCTGTCGATTCCACTGAATCAACAATTCAGAAATTAGTCGCATAATGCCACGCAATAACTTCACTTTCGTTGGCCGCTTCGTGAACAATATTTGCCAAGTTTTTATTGCTGTCTGTCCGAGTTTTACATTTTGCACAAATTTGCATGCATGCCAAGTGAAAGAAGCATGACGAAAAGGTCCGAATTTAAATTGTATCTGCAAATGATGTCGACGCTTTTGCCTTTGCCGTTGCCGTTGCCAGCACTTTCTATTTCAGTCGAGTGTCGTCGTCGACGGAAGAGGAAAAAAACGAGCAGACAAAAGAATAGAATGGCTAAATCGGCGATCGCAGTGAAAGTGTCTTCGAATTGGCCAATTGCCGCGAGCAAGTTCGTCGCTTGAGTCTTTCGTTTTCGGGGCCTGAATCTGCTGCCACCGCCATTGGCGAACCGGGAGGTCTCAATCGCCGCAGGAGAGGCTGCAGAACGACTTTTCAATATTCAAAGCCACCTACGTGTCGCTTGCAACTTGTTTTGCATACAAACAGATACACACACGCCGCTCCCATCCGAAATCCTGTGGCTGCGATCGTTGCAGGGAGCAAGCGAAAACTTTAAGAGCCAGGCAACAAGTTGTTTTAACACTGTGTTAACCCTTTTGCAAGCCTTGGGAAACTAAAATAAATGACTAAAATATGTCGAAAAGTATACTTTTTTTACAAACGATAAAATAGATTCCGTTCTTTCAAGAATTCAAAAACAAAAGTTCAGAGTTTGAAATCATATGAAGTTATGGGATCAGGAAGATACTTTTGGGGAATACTTTTCGATACTTTTCGGAAACTTGGAAAAACCGGACTGAATAGGGGTAAAAAAATCGACCTTCACTGAATTAAAAAATTTGAATACACATCGCTTAAAAATATGATTAGATACGGTTAAAGGTATGCCACTTTGGAATCGGGATGAAATTGGCAAAGTTGCAACTTCTGGAATATGAGTTCTTGTTATCTCTTCTGCTTAGCATTGAATTAAAGCATTTGAGCCCCCGAATCCTTGCAGTGCATCGGCCACTGCCTGATCTTGATCCACAGCAGGCCCAGCTGCGCATTTGATGTCAAGGGAGCAGGCTCAGTGCGGTTCGGTTCGGTTCGCACGGCTTTCCTCTCGGCCAAGTTATTACGTCTCATATTGGGCAGCTAGACCAGTCGGGAAGTGGCGGTGGTGAATGGCTGAATGAACGTGGCTGCCCGACTGGCTTTTGTTAATTTATTTTTACTGCTCCCCCAAACATGATGAAGTACTCGCAGCACCGCCGACCAAGAAATTAAGTTGCAGTTGCAGCGCTGCCCGGAGCCAAGTGGCAGGTACAAAAGCCCCGACTCTGTCTTCGATCCATAAAGTATTTTCCTCCTCGGCGCGCAGGCGCAGCTAACGAGACGAAGCACTCGGTGGCTCCCCATTCCCCATCCCCCATTTCCATTCCCCAATCCCCATTCCCTCTGCCCTTTCCCCTCTCAAGTCCTCATATACTCCATATACATCCCCATCCTCCCAACCAAAGTCCAGATTCGGGCCCAATACGTTTTTAGCCCTCGGGTTGGGTTCTTTATTGTTTTCTCAGCTCCGTCGCTCGCTGGCCGTAACTCTCTTTTGGCCCTGTATTGGTTGCTTGGTTGGTTGGTTGGTTGGCTGGTTGGTTGCTGTGCATGTTGCAGACTTG